TTGATGGGGAGGTACATAGATACTTGGAAGTTTGTAGAAACAGATTTATATTTTTGTGGTTTTTTATATGTGATTTGGTTAGAATTCTATGTTTCATGATTACTGACTATGTGGTTAGTCAGGTCCATTGCTTGTATTTCTGTTTCTGCTGGTGCTTTCTGTTGGGTTGTTTGGGGTGTAGGGGAGGAGGAGACTTCTGGAGACTGAACCTAACACTCCCACTACTACTGAGCCACACTCCCAGCCTATTTTGGTTTTTTTCCCTCTTCTTTCTTTGTTTCTTTATTATTATTGTTGCTATTGCTGTTTTAGTTTTTTCACTATTCAGTTTAATAGTGAACAAGGTGAAATTTCCTAGTTCTTAAATCCTGGAGGTTAACTTGCGGCAGGTGGTTCTGTAAACCATGAACCTGAATTAGAACCAATAACAAAGAGCAGATTGGCAGCTACTTCAGCAGCAGTAGCTGCAGTAAATGCAACCAGCTTCTGAATTTGAGTACCTTCCATGTGAATTTGAAACTTAAAACTAGTGATTTTTTTTTTTAAAGATATTTTTGCCTCTTTTACATTCACAAACTGCCCATTGTCATTTTAGGAAATGACAGTGACTGTACCTTACATGTGACTGGGAAAAGTGCAAGGAATATACTGAACCAATGCTTTTTCCAAGGGTTTTTGAGCTCTTTTCTGGAGCAGGGCAGGACATGGGGTATGAGCACAACTTTGGCTTTGCAGGTTAGTTTACTAGCATAAGTGCTCAGTGTTAGGAGAAAAGGAGAGCTTTCAGAGAATCTAGAAATTAGAACTCATTCCCAAGAAAGTTTAGGGTTACTGTTTCCTATTGTCTTTTTGTTGTTGTTGTTGTTCCTCTTGTTTTGAGGCAGGGATTGACTTTGTAGCCCAGGCTGTACTCCCAACTCGTAATCCTCCTGCCTATGTACACACCTCTCCTCTCAGGACTGGAATTACAGGCATGTACCACCATGTCCTGTTTCTATGACCTGTTATGAGGCAAATTGATAAGCTTTTCTCATCACCGTATCACCTTTTTTTTAAATCCCCCCATCACTAAGCTAATAGCTAAACTGATAGGAAGACTACTGCGCACACTAAGAATTAATGTCTTAAACATTAGGCCCTCTCAGCCTCTGGCTTTTAGCACAAAAAAAAATGTATCGCTCCTTTTCTTCAACAGGGAGCTGAACACTGAGCAAGGGAGGCTACTCTTGCAGCTTACTTTTTGAAAGAGCCCTTCTGTTTATAGATAATATATGCGTAGTGATAATATTACTGATATTTTTTTCTGTTATATATAATCAGTTTTTGTTTTGTTTTGAGCCAGAATCTCCAGGTTGCCCTGGAACTTGCTGTGTAGCCCAGGTTGGTATGGAACTTGATTTTCCTGCTTTAGCCTCCCCAATGGGGGATTATAGATATGCCTCACCATACCCTGTTCAGAATTTTTTAAGTTAACAGGCATAACCATTTGTCAGATAGTGACAAAATTGTGTTGAATCTGTTTCTGGCTTTTGTTGATGTTGTTGGGACTGGGATTTGAACTCAGGGATTTCCACTTACAAGGCAGGTACCCTACCACTTGAGCCATACCTCTAAGTCCATTTTGCTCTGGTTATTTAGGAGATGGGGTCTTTTGAAGTATTTGCTCAGGCTGGCCTTGCACTGCAGTGCTCTTGATCTGTCTCCTAAGTGGCTGGATTACAGGTAAAACTACAGTGCCTAGCTATTTCTGGTTTTTTGAACTCAGGGTCTCTTGCTTGCTAGTTAGGTGCTCTATCACTTGAGCCACTCTGCCAACCCTTTAAGTCTAAGCTTGACACTGTAGAAGAAGGTATTCACTTGATGAGGCAAGTCTGAGTGACTAAAAATTAGAACTGCTTTAATTGGGACAAATCATAGCTGGCAGTTAAGTTCAACGTTTCATCACGTCCAGCACGTCTTAGCTGCTACAGCCGGGGCTGCGTTAAACAGCTGTGCTGTTAGTGTGGGTGTCACTCCATATGTAAGTATTCTGGAGTGAATTAATCTTTTTAGTAGTTCTTTGAAATAAGTTCAAATGTTTTCTTTTTTCATACTTTGATAAAGGAAAAACTCATGAACTTAATGCCTGGAGCAGTTCTATTAAACATAATTTCAGAGCCCAGGCTATTTCCGTTAGCAGGACTGAGATGTTTGCTTTTTACCGTATTCAGTCCAGTAGAAATTTGAGGAAACTGTAACTTGTAAATACTATTCTGCCTGAATCATAAGTAAAATTCCCTATGACAAGTATCTTTCATGTTTAAACTAGGTTATATTTTAACAGGGGTTATCCTCCAGATCCTCAGATTCGGATGGAACTTTATAACTAAAGGTCATCTTTTCTAAGAGTGGACACCAAGTTCTTGTGATTTTTGTTCCCCAACCTGCCTTATCCAGAGGTCCTTTCTCCTATCACAAAAGAAACATGATTCTCACCCATCCCATTTATTACTATGGGTCATTGCCCCATACAACAAAAACCTCTGGGTCCCCAGAGGAAGGAAAACTTTGGAATACATCATCCTGGAGAGAGTCCTGTGAGAAATCCAAAAAGAGGTTAGATGAGAAAGACTGGCCTTATTTTATTCAATCTGCAAACTTCAGCCTTCTCTGTTTTCTATGTTTGAATTAGTATTAGAAAAATGAGATGGTGGTCACAATGATGTGTATCAGCACATTTATTTCAAATAAAATGGAAGGGTGTTTTTATTTGATAGAAATCTATTTACTTGATTGATTGAAAATGAGAAGTTGCTGTTTAGATTATATGGTTGGTATTTTCCATAAATCGAGTTGGCTAAGGCTTTATAATGCCAAACACAGCTATGTAGAGAACCAGGAGAAATCATTAGAATGAAGTGTAGGACACAAAAAGATGGAAACAGAAATAGATGCCATGGGAAGATCCAATTGGAGTGAGAGGACAAAAAGAGAGATAGAAAAAGAAGCAATATTTGAAGACACAGGAACTGATAATTTTTCAAAATCCACAAGAAGTCTGTTTTGTCAGCAAGATTGTGTTGTGTAATCTGTATTTTGCTAGTAGTTACTATTAAAGATTTTTAAAACTAGTGTTTTGTCTGATATGATTGAAGTGGTCTCTTCATTCTTTTCTCTTCCATGGTCCATTAGATAAATGTCAACTCTTTCCATTCTAAAACCTCTCATAGCTTTTGAATTAAGCTGTCCTTGAATTTGGACTAATGTCTTTTTCTTTAAAGTTAATTGTCCTTTTATTTTTCATTTATATTTATTTTTGTTTGTTCCTTTGTTTTTTAAGATAGGGTCTCACTATGTAACCTAAGCTGTCCTCAAACTCATGATTCTTCCGCCTAGCCTCCCAAGTAGTGGGATTATATGCATGTGTCAGCACTCCTAGCTTTGTGTAAACATTTTTGGATTTTGTACCCATTTATAGGGTACAGTGTGGTATTTAAATATATGTGCATAATGTTGATGGTCAAATTTGAATAATTGTCACCTCAAACATCTATCATGTCTTTGTGGTGAAAACATTCAAACTCCTCTTCCAGTTAGTTTGAAATATGCAACATATATGACTAATTTCTTCATACCTGTTCTCCTCCCCTCCCCCCCGCCCCGGGTTTTATCCTGTATCCTTCTCTGTCCAATCTGTTAATTAACCTGTTATTAATTTTATTGACTACTTTTCATTTCTAGAAGTTCTGGTTCAGATAGACTAGTATTTTTTTTCCCCCACTGTGTGTTTTTCTGGTGGAATGGTACAGGGGTTTGAACTCAGGATTTGCTAGGCAGATGCTGTACTATTTGAACCATGCCTCCAAAACCATTTTGCTTTAGGTATTTTCAAATAGGGTCTCAAGTTGATGCCCAGGCTAGCCTGGACCAAGATATTCCTATTTACACTTCCTGCATAGCTGAGATGACAGGCACATGTCACAATGCCCAGCTATTGGTTGAGATGAGTCTTTGGCCTTTTTGCCCTGACTGACCTGGAACTAAGATCCCCCTGATCTCCATCTCCCATATAGCTAGGATTGCAGGCAAGAGCCTGCATCTGGCTTTGTTTTTGAGAGCCTTGCTACATAGCCCAGGGTGGCCTCAGTTCCCAATCCTCCTGCCTCAGATCTCTTGTTCAAAAGGAGTTTTGTTTTGTTTTATTATTTTGTTTTCTTCTTTGAGATGGGGTCTTGCTACATAGCTCTAGTTGGCCTCCAATTCGTGATGCTCTTGCCTCCACAACCAAATCCTGGGATTACAACTGTATCCCATCATGCTTGGAATTCAGGGGTTTTTATAGCACTTTATTTCCAGCCATTACCACTTTCCCCTTTACTAGAGGTTTCTCCCACCCTCTAATCACTGGATCATTCTGGTAACTACACCCACAAAAAAAACATCCAGGACCCCCCCAGTCACCTCATTAGCTGGGTGGGAGAGCACTTACCTTCTATGTATGAACATTGCAAAAATAAAGTGAAGTAAAATAAACAAATCCAGATAAGATGAAAAGGTACTTCTATTAATTAGATAACTCCTAGAGTTTAGGAGCTTGTTACAAAACCCATATGCATGGTATTATTAAAAAGATAAACTAGGCCATGAGCAGATGGCTCACACCTAGCTTCTTGGGAGGACCAAGGTTCAAGGCCAGCCCAGCAAATAACCAGATTCTCCAAAATAACCAGAGCTAAATGGAGGTACAAGGCCTTGTAATCCCAGCCCTCACCAGAGGCTGAGGTAGGAGGATCACCAAGTTGGAGGCCAGTCTGGGCAACAGAGGGAGACCTTGCCTCAAAAAGGCAAAAACCAAAACAAAAGATATTTCTATTTTCTTATCACCCAGGAAATCACAAGCAATTTAGGAGCTCTGTGTCAAGAAACAAGGGTGAAAGCCAAAAACGCAATTTTATTATACAAAAGGGTTTTGTGGGGATGTTTTAGTGTTGACATACTGTTTTAATTTTATAATCCTGCAGATACTGGATTTGAGCTGCATTTTGGAATTCATCTACACTTAAAATGCCTCCTGCAATTGGAGGACCAGTTGGATATACCCCCCCAGATGGAGGCTGGGGATGGGCAGTGGTAGTTGGAGCATTCATTTCTATTGGCTTCTCTTATGCATTTCCCAAATCCATCACTGTGTTCTTTAAAGAAATTGAAGGTATATTCAATGCTACCACCAGCGAAGTGTCGTGGATATCCTCCATCATGTTGGCTGTCATGTATGCTGGAGGTAAGTACTCATTAAAGCTTGCCCTTTTAATTTTCACTGGGCAGCCTGAGTGTATTGGGTAACTTAAAAAAAAAAAGTTTATTCAGTGGGATGTTTTGAAATGTTACTTCTTTGAAATGTTCTTGTGTTATGTATGGTGCATGGTTTTCACTCACTGCTTATAACAGGGGCAACTCTTACTCCCTTGGTTCTGCTATGGTTTTCTGGAATGCAATGACAGTGACCCAAGGGAAGTTTCATTGAGCTTAAAAAGCTCTCATAAAAATGATGTGCACACAATTGCTTCTTGTTGCTCTCTGATAGATCCTTGAAATGCAAACCTGAATACGTATAAATACTGATGTTGGACTAATGAAAATAAGTCAGACAAACCTAAATAGCATAGTTCAACATCTTGGTGAAATTGTCTAATGGTATTAGAAATTAAAAGAACTGAATAAACTTTCCCTTAATCCTCATGATGGTGTGGCTCTTAAAAGCATTTCAACTGCACTTTAAACGAGTTTTTTTTTTTTTCTTCTTCTTCTGTTTTCTTTGGCATGTTGTGAAGGAAATGTAGAGAGTAAATTGCTCACTTAGCATCATTTAAAATATTGTTTGTTTCACCTTGACATCAAACCACAGTTAATCATGTTAAAGTTAAACCTACCAAAATACTTAAAATATATAGTTGCTTAGTTAGCAGGAATTCATGCCAAATGCTTTTGTTAACTGAGATTGACAGTGTCTCTTGTTGCCTTATTAGATGCTCTTTACTTCTGTTAATCTTGTTTTTGGTTGCAATTTATTGCCTCAGATTATATCCATCTATACCTCTTTAATAGCCAATATAAAGATTTTACATATCAATTGTAAATAACTTAGTTTTAGGCTGCTAAGGTGGTAGCAGGTTCAACCAATATTTATTAAGCCCTATGAGTATATTCAACTCTGGGCACATATTGTGAGTCCATAGACAACACTGATCCTGATTCCTTCCTTTGAGAAATTATAATTCGTGTGAGATTTATAAACTCATGAAACAGGATGACAGTTGAAATCACAACTTAATTATCAGATAATTAAATTGGATGGAAGAAACAGGTAACTAGTTGCCTTGTACAGAGATAAGCAGCAGGTGGGAACAGGAGTTAGAAGACCTGTTTTTCACTGCATGTCTTCTTGTGCCTTTTCCATTTTGAACGTACGCCCATTTTGTCTATTGAATACATTTTTAAAGAATCTGCATATTGAATTATATTACCTATTTTTAAATAAGTTCAGAGAAATCAAAAGGAACTTTGAACATTATCTAACTTCTGAGAGAAGCAGTAATTTTACAGGCTTTTAACTCCAACCTACCAAGACTTCTAATGAGATTTTGACTTTGATGACTTGAAGAAGTTGGTATTCAGCATGTCCTTAAACTGACTGAACCAGAGGGTCACATGTTGTGATTCTCAGCAGCCAGTGAGCTTGGAAGCCACTTCAATTTTGCATTAAAATTAAGTGATGTCAGTCGTGCTAATTGCACATGACACTTTCCTTTGGGGAGACAGTTCCTTCTTTGTCCTTACCCAGTTACTAAGATAACTAACCCATTTCTCTAAGTTTGGTTATAATAGCCTATAAACTAACTCTTTCTATTTTTAGTGATAGCTAATTAGGGCCATCCTTCCTGAAATAACTTTGAAGGACATAATTGCCTATCATGAGTTTTGTGGAAGAGATTTTATTAAATGGGTTATTTTTTAATTGGTTTCTAAGTAATATATTCCCTAAGAATTTTCATCACTTTACAACTGTTTTAATCTTTTAATTTGTGCACTTAAGCTACATTCTGAGTAGTATGTTTTAAGCTATGAATGATTTCATTTTGTTTAGTGCTTTGGGTTAAAGAGTCATACTATAGTCTGTTGAAGTGTAAGTATGGTGGTTTGTCCCCCCACCCCTTCCTTTTTTTTTTTTTTTTTTTAAACATATTTTCAGTTCCAGAGTGGTCATTGTGATACTCCTAGTTCGGTTTTTCAAACTGCAGAATTTGTAGATTAACTTAAACCTCTCAGAGTCAATAGTATGGCAGTATTGATCTTTGTTCTGGTTACATACAATCTCATGACTAATATTTTATAGATAGTCTTCCACTAATCAGTTCTTCCATCTTACACAAGGTGTGAATTCAGATTTTCAATTCACCTGAGACCTAGTACTTTCATGAAGTGACTGTCTTAGTCCATCAGGGCGTCAAGTGAGAGTTTGTCCCAATACATGGTACCTATCTGCATCTTCCCATGCAGGAGAGAAGAGAAGTCCCCTCAGGACACTGATCCCATTCATAGTGGCAGTGGCCTCATTTTCTAAAGGCCCTACCTCTTAATACTATTGATTGGGGTAGGTTACAACATTTTTTGGTCATTGTTTTATTTTTGTGGTATTGAACCCAAGGCATTGACACATGCTAGGCAAGTGCTCAACTACTGAGCTCTATTCTCAGCATTTAGGCCACAGCAGTGAATTAGAAGGTGCCAGTATTTACTGAGGACCTACTAAACATTTCATATACATACATGAGTTCATTTTTTATTTTATTTTTTGGTGGGACTGGGGTTTGAACTCAGGGATTCATACTTGCAAAGCAGGCACTCTGCCACTTGAGCCATACCTCCAGTCCATTTTGTTCTGGTTATTTTGGAGATGGGGGGGTTCATGAATGATTTGCCCTGGCTGGCCTCAAACCACAATCCTCCCAATCTCAGCCTCCCAAGAATTCAAGAATTACAGGTGTGAGCCACCGGGGTCTGGCCTAATTTTTTATTCTTTCAACCAACTATAGGAGGTAGATGAATAACAAAGAATAGCAAAGAGTAGAAAGAAGTAGAGCCATAATTCAAATTAAAATTCCCTGGGGCTAGGGCCTGTCCCTTTGAAATAGAATATGTCAACATATGACCATTATTGTATTCTGGATAAGTGCATTTAATGTATGTTTCTAAGGACAGACTTACTATCTTCTAGGGAGCCAAGTACAGAAATAGTAAGTTCAGAATGTACTATGCGCATAGAAGAGAAATTGATTTTTTTTTTTTGGTCTGCTTTATAATTTGGTTCCAAAATTACAGGTTGGTGGAGTGGCTCAAGTGGTAGAGGACCTGCCTAGCGAGTATGAGGCCCTGAGTTCAAACCCCGGTGCCACCAAAAATATGGAGGGAAATAAGTTGAATGTGAGACTTAGCTCTTACTAGCTTTGTGACTTTGCCAAGGCCAGTATCAGTGCTTTTCCAGTGAGCTTGCCTTAACCAGGTAGGCAAGTTACAAAGTTATCATTTCCACAAGTTCTTGAAACATACTATTTTTATAAATATGAACAAGTGAAATTCAAACCATGATTCATTTTGCAACCAGCAAATATTAGTGGATTTTTTTTCCCCCATATAAGACAAGTAATGTGCCAAAATCGTGACAAGGTTTGAGAGGCTCATTTCACATACTAGCATGAAAATTCAGTCACCATGCTTATGAGCCCAGAAGGTCAATATTAGCCTAAGAGTTGGGTCATAGGGCTAGGAATGTAGCTCAGTGGATTTCCCGCACAATACACACATACACACAAGGTTATATCATAACTTTTAAAATACTATTTACTATGAATAAGACTTGCTTATGATTATTAAGATTTATAAATTTTATTTTATTATTTTTTTTGGCAGTACTTAGGCTTGAACTCAAGGGCCTCACACTTGCTAGGCAGTTGCTCTACCACTTGATTTATAAATTTGGAAAAACAAATTACACCTTTGGTAGTAAGTAAGAAGAAAGCTCTTGATTTTTGTATTAGAAAATTGATACCTAAGATTTTCTTGTGGGGATGGGGGAGCATCTACATATAGGTGGAAACTTTTTAAAAATTGAAATGACCTACCTACCTACAATACTACTTAAACATGGAAAAGAAGGTTATGTATTTTTGTCTTTTTTTTTTCTTTTATAAAAATGACACAAGCCACATTTATGATACTATGTAAATAATACTCTAATGTCAGAAATTTATTCAGCTTGATCTACTTTAAAAGAGAAGCCTAAATTCCATCCTGTATTTGTAGATACAGGACATAAACAATGCATGCTGTTGGAGGATCTTTATTTTCCAGCACATATGCCTGTGACTCACGAATAATTACAGAGGACAATATTCTTGCCATTGACTTTTGTTTATTTCCGTGCCTTGTACAGATGTGAGAGTCAGGTTCATTTATGCTATTAAATGTTTTGTCTCCCAGGTCCTATCAGCAGTGTCCTGGTGAACAAGTATGGCAGCCGCCCGGTCATGATTGCTGGGGGCTGCTTGTCCGGCTGTGGCTTGATGGCGGCTTCCTTCTGTAACACCGTGCAGGAGCTTTACTTGTGCATTGGCGTCATCGGAGGTGAGTTGCTGCTGGTTCTTTTTTGTGCAGTCGTTTATTACTTGCTATTTGAAATTTATCTGCTTTTAGCTTTCAGGTATTATAAATTAGAATCTTTTCTTATAGAAATAATTTTGTTACCATTTGAAGAGTTGTTCAAATGATAAACTGAGAACTACAAAGGCAAACTTTAAAGAAATTACTGTCATAATAGAATTTTATTGTTGAATTAATTGAAAGAAAAATTGATTGAATCCTTTCTCTTAAGAACAGGCAGTGGTGGTAGATAGTTTGTGTGGCCACTTTCTGAAGGTCAGTAACTGGTTATGCTCTCCTTACCTCTTCCTTCCAAGAGAATGGTTCTTCTTTGGAATAGGACAGCATGTTAAACAAAAACCAGGAATTGTATAATGTCCATATAATACTTTTGAAGGGTAGCGGATACATTCAATAGTGCTCTCCCTTTTCTTTTAGTCATCAAGTTAATGTAATAAACTGATGAATATAATGAATCAAGATTACTTACATTTCACATTCCCATTAACATTCTGGATGTGTCCTTCTATACTTTTTCTGTGCGTAAACCTAATCTTTTTTTCAGAGTAAAAGATCAGATTTTGTACATGTTGTCATTATCTTTTTCTTTTAGTTAACATATGAACATCTTTCATGTTATCAAGAATTCTGATGCACAACAGATTTCATCTTTATTTATTGAATAGATATATCATAATTTGGTTGACTAATTTCTGAGTTAATTGATTATTTAAGGTCCTTAAGGGGAACTGCTATTTGTATTTTGGTTTGGGTTTGTTTGTTTGCTTGTTTATTTGCTTATTTTTCCCTTTGGTGTTGCTTGAGATGGGGTCTCATTAACTTTTCACCTAGGTTATCCTTGAACTGCAATTCTCCCGATGTCTCCATCTCACCAGCAGTTGGGGTTAAAGGTGTGAGTCACCACACCTAATCTGTGTACGTTCTTTAAGCATAGATTTTACATATAAAATTCTGGATGGATGAAAACATATGACGTCAAATGAGGAAAAAAATATAAGTAGTGCCTGGGAGCATTGTGCAGGGGCAGAGCACCTGCCTAGCATGCTGAAGGCTTGATTCTATCCCCAGCACCACAACAAGTATGTGTGTACATATGAATACATAAAACTGCTTGTTCTTTCATGATTAGTAACTCGGTGTATGAAATACTAATAGAATAGCAATTTTATGCATGTTGGGAATCATTGTAGGTCCTGTGGACACAGAGCAACAAATTAGGCAAAGTCATGTGCATTAATAGGATGAAGCTGACAATGCAAAGTACAAATATATAAATAAATAATAAAAGGGCTGGCAGAGTGGCTCAAGTGATTGAGTGTCTGCCTATCAAGTGCAAGGCCCTGAGTACTGCAAAAAAAAAAGAAAGTCAATAAATAAGCTAGTGGGTTATGATAAATGATAAACAAAGCATTGTGAAAGGGAAGGTTAGGGCAAGTAACAGATAAGGTCTCACTAAAAAGATGGCTTTACGTAGGAATCTGACTAAGCACAAGGAAGCAGTTTCATGAAGATCTAGAAAAACATAGACCCTGAACAGTAGCATGGTTACTAGGACATATGAAAATGGGATGGTGTGTGGTCAGAGGTGTAAGCAGGGTCAGAGTAAATGTTGTAGATAGGAAGCCATACCAGGTGGAAATTCGGGCAACAGTCTACTGTGATTTGTTAGTTTAATGTTAATGTCTTAGAGATTGATGATAGCTAGCCAGTCATGATGGAGCATTCCTTTAATACCTGCGCTCTGGAGGATGAGGCAGGAGGGTTGTTCGTTTGGGGCCAGCCTGGACTGCATAATGAGTTCAGGGTCAGCCTTAGGTATATAGTGAGATCCTTTCTTTAAAAAACCAAGGGTTGAGAGAGCTTTGGCCTAGCATGTACAAGGTGAAAAGAAAAGAGAAGAGAAAACTGGAAAAGAAAAAAAGATGGTGGGGATCAAAGCAAGGCCAGGAGGATCGTATTTCACTTTTGCTCTCGGGCTTTCTGCCCATTTTCATTGTTACTTATCTATTTTTGAAACAGGACCAGCTGTTGTAATGATTATAGCTTTTATAAAGCCATTTAAAAATCTGTTATTGTTAGTCCCACTCCTCCCTCTACAACACCAGAAATTTCTAGCAGCCCCCATGTTCATTCTCTGTGTGCTTAAAAATCATTTTATCTCATCTCAAAATCCAGTGACATTTTCATTATAATTGTATTAAATTAGTACGTTCATCTGGAGAGACTTGCCATCTCAACAATTTTGGGTATTTGCATAAAATTCCACAATTTGAGCCCTATAAATGGTCTGTTTTAATTTTGGTTGAAAGGATCATTTTATATTACATCTTTCATTATAAATCTATTTTAATGTCTATTTGATTAGTGTCTTAATAATTTCAGGTGATTTTTGTTAGATTTGACAGTTACCTTCAAATAATAAAGCAATAATAAAAATAACTTTTTTTTTTTTGGTATACTACAGGGTTTGAACTCAGGACCTCACACTTGCTAGGCAGGCATACCACCACTTGAGCCACTTTGCCAGCTAAAAAATAAAATTTCTTGAGCTTACTATACTAGCTTTTCACATCTTCTCTTCCTCACAGCATGCTGTGTACCTGTTTAGATACTGAGGCACAGGCGTGAGGATTCATGTGTCTGAGACCAGTCAGCAGTGATGCTGACTTTTGGACACAGGCAGTCTGGTTTTAAACCTACACTGAAACTTGCAAAATGTGTCATGTAATAGTGAAGATATTTGTTTTCTCTCCATTATTTTCACATATTACTTTAGTTTCTTTGGTTAAGTAATTTCAAAATTATTTCCAGTATTTATTACAGTATTGTTTTTGCCCCTTTTCCTAGGTCTTGGGCTTGCCTTTAACCTGAATCCAGCTCTGACCATGATTGGCAAGTATTTCTATAAGAAGAGACCACTGGCCAATGGACTGGCCATGGCAGGCAGCCCTGTATTCCTCTCTACCCTGGCCCCCCTCAACCAGGCTTTTTTTGGTATCTTTGGCTGGAGAGGAAGCTTCCTAATTCTTGGGAGCCTCCTGCTAAACTGCTGTGTAGCTGGATCCCTGATGCGGCCAATAGGGCCCAAGGCTACTGAGGTAGAAAAAGTTAAGTCCAAAGAATCTCTCCAGGAACCTGGCCAATCTGGTGCAAAAATAGGTGCAGGTGATGCAAGTACAGATCTTATTGGAGGAAACCCCAAACAGGAAAAACAATCCATCTTCCAAACGATTAATAAATTCCTTGACTTGTCCCTCTTCACTCACAGAGGCTTTTTGCTCTACCTTTCTGGAAATGTAGTCATGTTTTTTGGACTCTTCACACCGTTGGTCTTTCTTAGTAATTATGGCAAGAGTCAGCACTATTCTAGTGAGAAGTCAGCCTTCCTTCTTTCCATTCTGGCTTTTGTTGATATGGTGGCCAGACCTTCCATGGGACTTGTGGCCAACACGAAGTGGATCAGACCTCGGATCCAGTACTTCTTTGCGGCTTCTGTAGTTGCGAATGGAGTGTGCCATTTGTTAGCGCCTTTATCCACCAGCTACGTTGGCTTCTGCATCTACTCGGGATTCTTTGGCTTTGCCTTTGGGTGGCTCAGCTCGGTATTGTTTGAAACACTGATGGACCTCGTTGGACCCCAGAGGTTCTCCAGCGCTGTGGGCTTGGTGACCATTGTGGAATGCTGCCCTGTCCTCCTGGGGCCACCACTTTTAGGTAAAGTATGTCTCCCTACTCCCTTCTCCCTTTATGTCTGTCACCATAAAATGGACAAACATATGGGAATAGTGATAGAATGCAGAGGTTAGTGAGTCTCATTTCTGTACCCTTGGTGCCTGTTCACGTATTTACAAAATGGGATTCAAGGGGCTGGGATGTAGCTCGGTGGTACAGAGCTTGCCTAGCATGCGCGAGGCCCTCGGTTCGATCCCAGCACCAAAAAAGAGAAGACCAAAAAAAAAAATGGGATTCAATCAAACTCAAGCTGTATGGGGGAGCAAGTGACTATATTTACATTTTTTTCTGATCATGAAGCTAGCATACTTATTGTAGAAAACACCTTCACCTTTAAAAAGCATGGTGGAGAGCTATCACATAAGTTCTCAGTGTACTGCTAGTGACTGCCAGAACCACTGTATGGATCCTGTTGAATCTCACAAGGCTGTGTGGTATGACTGATTTATTTCTATTTCCTAAATGAAGAAATAGAGGCTTTAAAGGGTGAAGTCATTGTGCTAACGTTACACAGTTTGTAAGCCAGCATATAATTTGAGCACAGGTACCTAATGTAGTGTTTCATCTTTTAAATTCAGAGCTCAAAAGGCTGGCCATGCTGATGCCCACCTGTCATTCTAGCACCCTGGGAGGCTGAGGCAAGAGGAGTGAGTCCAAGGCCAGCCTCACCTTTATAGTGAGACCCGTGTAAAAAAAAAACAAAAAATAAAATGATAGCTCCAGATAAAACATATAAAAAAATAATTTGCTCCTCTTGGATGTGATTCATTCTTGAGGGGGTGAGTATCCAAAAGAGAAAGAAGGTCCACAGCTCTCTTTATACATTGCTAGTACCCCTCCCTGACCCGGAGAGTCTCTAAATCCCACTAGGTTTCATCTGCGAAATCTCTTTATAATCCATTTCTCTCCGTCGCAATTACCTCTCTTACCCAAACTCCTGTCCGTAATGCAGGCTGCTTCTAACAGTTTCCTAACTGGTCTGCCTGTATCAGCTCCAGCTGTTCTTCAGTCTGTTACAGCTCTCCATTCCACTGCTCTTAGGGTAAAAATCAAATTCCTAATGTGGCTTGCAAGGCTCTGCAGGGCCTGGCCCTACTGTCTCTCTAGCCTCATTTCCTACCTTTACCCTTTGCTCTCTCTGCTACAGCAACCTGGCCCTTCTTCCCTCTCTCACACCGTGCTTCCTCCTACCCCAGTGCCTTTGCACCTGCTGTTAGCCTGTATCCTCTCCCCACCCCTTCTAGATGACCTTATCCTCCTGCCATTCTCAGCTCTGTTAACTCTTCAAGGGAGGAAGCCTTTCTCACCCCACGTAGCAGTCCTAATCCTCTGTTTTCTGTTCAGAACCCTCCTATGGCACCTGTCACAGGTCATGTCACTGTTTGATGAATGTCTCTCTGTTCCTCTGAAGTGTGGATGTCGTGTCCTTTGCTCACCTCATCCACAGAGCCAGTGCCTGGTGTATGACAGCTGTGGGCACTGCAGGTGCATGATGCCCGAGTCAGGAAACCAGGTGGCATCACAGGGGGACCGGTTAAGTGGAGAGTAGGGTTTCCAAAGTTTATTCCTACAAATGCTGTTTTGATGAGATGCTTATAAACTGTGCTATAACAAGGGTTTCATGGCCAAAAAAAAAAAAATAATTCAGAAATACCAATTTAAATAGGCTTCCTTACTACCAGCCCTCACAGAGCCTTCCGAGAAAAGGAGGTGATAGGCCATTCCCACATTCATCTGACTTTCCGCCAGTGGATGGATCCTGTAGCGCAGTGGTTCCAGGTGCAGGCCTGGAGTCGGACTTCCCAGCTTAAAGCCGTTACTTCACTTGCTGGCTTTGTGATCTTGGAGACATAACTTAATGTTTCTACTTCAGTTTTTGTATCTGTGCAGTGAGGGTGACAGTAGAATGTGTGGTGGGAGGACTAGGTGCCTAGAATGGGTAAACTGTTGCTGTTAGGTAAATTTTCAGCCCAGGTCGAGGAGCCCATCAGGGAGGGTGATTGAGAAGGAGCGCTGGCCTTGGCCTTGGGAACCGGATTGCTCTGGCCTGGAAGTCCCCTCAGCCTCTGAGCAACAGGCTTCTCCATCGTGAACTTGAGAGAAGTGGTTGTACCTGACGTTCAGGTCTTTCTTGATTCAGACATGAATTATTGTCAAGCATGAATTGTTTTCAAGTTGCTAAAAATAACCAAATGTGTAAGGCCTATAAAATCAGAGACATTAGAAAGAGATGATCAGATAATTTTCAGCAGTTCTTTTTTATACCAATTTGTCATTGTGGGCTCTTTGAAAATTGAAGTGACATCTTTTTCTGAGTTTTCGTTACTGAGGCAGGGTCCCACTACATAGTCCAGGCTGACCTCCAACTCAGCCTCAGCCTCCAGAGTGCCAGGATTATAGACAAGTACTACCTCGCCCAGCTTCTGAGTGGATCCATAAACTGTCTGGGAAGGGGTATCCTTGTTTACTTTTATGCACATCGCTTTGTTTTTACGTCTCCCCAGGTAGTCTCAATGACATTTACGGCGAGTACAAATACACGTACTGGGCGTGTGGCGTCATCCTCATCATCGCAGGTGTCTATCTCTTCATTGGCATGGGCGTCAATTATCGACTTGTGGCAAAAGAACAGAAGGCAGAGGAGCAGAGAAAGGAAGGGAAAGAGGACGAGACCGGTATGAACTCAGATGAGAAGCCAAAAGAAGTTACAAAAGCAGCACAGTCTCCACAGCATAACAGCACAGAAGGAGACCCCAAAGAGGAGGAGAGTCCAGTGTGACCCCGCGGGCCATTACCCAAGACATCCGAAGATCTACTGGCCTGTAGTATACCAGTGGTGCTCTCTGAGACGGTGGACATTCTGTGCAAACATCCCAGGTGTTCATTGATGGATTTTGTTTCACTCCTTACCAATGCCTGAATTTAAAGTATCATACACTTTGGGGAGGACAGGGTTGGTAAAGGATGTAGGAAAGAAGTAGGGTTTTTGTTACTGTTTTTTGTTTCGTGTTCTTGGTTTTTTTTGTTTTGTTTTTCTTTTTTATTGTTCTTAGCTTTTAACAGTGTCATGAATATTACAATATGTGCCTTAAGTTTTAGTGTGTAGAAATCTCTAGAGAGCCTTAACTTTTTAAATCATTCTGCTGAGTTCATATATTTTAAGTAGCACCTTCAAAGAAAAAATAACAACTAACTTGTTTGAGGCAACTCTTAAATTTAAAGTTTATCTTGCTTCATTATTTGTTATATGTTGTCAGATGTTACTGGAACATTTATGAAATACTGGGTAAAGTTGGATGTTTTATAAAATACTGACATTTTTCTAGCATTGGTAGTTGCTTGGTATATATGCTTGCTATTTAAAAAATTTAAAGTTTAAAACTTCTGAAACATGTTGGCTGTTCCAGCCACATTATATTCAGGAAGACCTCTTTGGCTCCTTTCCTGAGATGCTTATTAGAAGCCGAGTGCTGGAGTGTTGTTTTCACTAAGTTACTACGTTCGCACCCTGTTCCAAGACATTTGGAGTGGGTACAGAGCATTTCCCCTCTTCAAACCAGTTGCTATTATTTTTCTCACTGTAAAAATTAGTATTAAAATCTACACATCATATATTTAATGTAGGTAGATAGTTCAAATAATCAGCTGAATTCAGCTTAGGTTTTTCCAAGACCCTAATTACACTGGAATCCTCAAGTGTGTGTGTTTGGTTTTGGTGTTTTAGTTTTTTGGTGGTGCTGGGGATTGAACCCAGGACCTTAAGCATGGTGAGCATCAGCTCGGCCACTGAGCCGCACCCAGCCCTATAGAATCTCCTACCCTGTCAGTTTTCCCCTTTGGTTTTTGGTGGTTCCATTCATACTTGCTTCAAGCTGAAAGCTGTATGTGAGAGATGCAGTACCGACTGAATATGTGTGTGTGTGTGGTGTTTGGGTTTGTTTGGTTTTTTCTTAATATATATTTTTTTCAGTGTTTGCAAATTCAAAAGGGCCAGAAAAATTTGGCCACAGGCAAACCAATAAAGATAAAGTGGAAGGAAGATTGAGAAGTGCCCTTCCTTTCAATAAGGAACCCCCCTCCCATTTCCCCCCCTCTTTCTGAGAAGACTTAGAAACAAACATGCCACACTTAGAATTATTGGACACAAACCTTAAGCTTGGTGACGCTTCACTTACCTGAAATGTAGGAAAATGGGCTCAGTACAAGGAAAGGTGGGAGGGTAGATCAGAATGAAACTGTAAATATTTTTTTAACCTAGTATCTTCTAAATTGAGGCAGAACAATGAGAGATGTAACATCCAATGAATTATCTTCAATGCATTTAAAATACCACTGTAATTGACAGAATGAAAATACAGATTCAAAACCTTGTGTTAGAGGCTGACTTTTCCAAATAAAACATTTATTTTATTTTTAGAAAAGATTTCTTCCTCCAAATGTTTGTGTTCTTGAGAAAAGTATTGCTGTGTCTTCATTTTCATTATCAGGTTTCTAGTGCTGAATTATTCCATTTATGTACCTTGAGATTTGTTTATGTGGCTAGTTCCCCCCTTTCCTCTTTGCAAGGGGCTGAAGTTCCCCTTCAGCAAGGGGCTGAGGCATCATTCAAGTGATAGAGAGCCTGCCTGGCAAACATGAAGCCTTGAGTTTGAACCCCAGTACAGGGAAAAAAAAAAAAAAGACAGGAGGGGGTTTTGAAAGCACTCTTGAACCTAGAGCATCTAAGGCAGTTGGCCTCTTTTTTAAGAGGGGAGAGAAAAGTGGAGTTTGAACTCAGGGTTTCATGCTTGCTAGGCAGGCACACTACCAATTAGCCACTCTACCAGCCCTGCTTTTGTGTTATATTTTTGAGATAGGGTCTCAAGAACCATCTGCCCAGGCTGACTTGGAACCTCGATCCTCCTGATCTTTGCCTCCTGAGCAGCTAGGATTACAAGCATGAGCCACTGGCAGCTGGCAGCAGTTAGCCTTAAGGACACTATAAGCCTCCTTTTGTATGAGAGTTAAAGGAGATTCAGGAGGAAATTTAGGGCAGAAGCCTGTAGGGAAGTATTGGCTCTTGTCCTGGACACTGACATCTTCATGGAACCAAGTCTAACCCTTGTGTAGTACTTTTTCCTGTCTATAAAATGCAAATTACCATTGGTAAGGGACCGTAACTATTGGAAATGTAAAAATAAAAATAAGGCTGTGCTGAGTCATGGCAATCCTGGGTTTTGTGATGCAAATATGTCACCACTCCAGAAGGTTGGAAGTAAGCTTTTTTTTTTTTTTTTTTTAAGACCTTTTCTCACTGTGTCCCCCTGTCTAACATAAACTCTGTCTTTACCTTTGAGTGCTGGCATTACAGGTGTGTACCATCTCACCCAGCTTTGGAACCAAACTTTTTTTAAACACTTTGTTCAACTCTGATTTTTTTCCTCACTGAAGAGACAGGCTTAAGGGTTTGTCTTGGTATTGGTGCTGGGCATGCTTTCTATGCCTGTGCTTCATACACCCAAGGGTCTGAAGCAAGCTCAAGTTCAGTAGCAGGTAATGTGAAAATTCAACACATGCCTGCTCTGATTGGCTAATCATCTGTGCTGTAAATCAGCCCTAGAAGCCGTGGGCTTTCAGAACCTATCTGTCACCCCTGATGTCACTAGAAGTTTTATTTCAGTTCACATGGTTTCAGTGGCTGCTTCAGGAAGAGATGTATGCAGAGATCACCCTCTGCACTTTATAACCATCACTTAAATACTTACCAGCCTGTTTAAGGATTTTTCAGATACTTATGACTTCAACCACATGTTGAAGTGTGGGTTTCACCCATTCACTTTCAAAACAAAGACCAGTATGTTATACTAAAAGAAGAATCAAAAAGGAGAATTTGTTCATTTAGCTAATAAGTCTTTCAGAGCACCTGCCTAGCAAGCTCCAGGCCCTGAGTTTGAACCCTAGTACTGTCCTCATATCCTGTATTCCTAGCTACTCAGGAGGCTCAGAGATCAGGAGGATCAAGGTTCAAAGCCAGCCTGGGCAATAATTGATGAGACCCTATCTCAAAAAAATGCATCACAAAGAAGGGTTGGTGGAGTGGCTCAAAGTGTAGGCTCTGAGTTCAAACCCCAGTACTGCCAAAAAAAAAAAAAAAAGAAAAAGCAATACAAAGTAGCATGGAATATATGCATATATAAAAATCCTCAAGAAAAAAGGAGTGTACAGATATGCTAGCTGTATTTTTGTGAGCGATACAATCAGAGGTGACTGTGTGTTAGACATTGAACCCAGAGCCTCATACATGCTAAGCACGTGCTGTACCACTGGTTTACACGCTGAACAAAGTACTTTCATACTTTTACATAGATATATCTATGATGGTGGTATGGTATTTGAATTCAGGGCCTCATGCTTTCTAGGCAAGCATTTTACCACTTGAGTTACACCCCAAACCCTTTATTTTTCCATATTAATATTTTTATTGTGATAGTTTCATGGTTTTGGTTTTTTTTTTTTTTTAACTAACTTTTTTTTTTTTGCAGTGTTGGTGATTGAACCCTAGGCTAGAACTCTCCCACTGAGCTATGTGCCCTGAGCCCTAAAAGAAAATTTGAATGTAGCATATTACAGGTTTACAAGAGAAAAAAAAAATACATCTGATCTGGAGGCCTGTAGCAAGACAATTATCTCAAAAGAACATGAAGCCATTAATTATTAAAGTCAGTTTATTATTTTTTTTCTGCTTCTCCCTTTTGGTGGAAGAAAGGTGAGTATGACATGAAACTCCAAAAGCACATTTTTTGAGACCCATTAAAACAAAGTTTAATGAGAAAAAGAAAAAAAGCGTAGTGGTCTCTAGTCATCTTGCTAGGTTGGACCAAAGCTAGCCAATGGGTCACCTGGGTCAGCTGCAGGGCCTCCTGCCTTTCCCAGGTGTCTTCGGGGCAGCATTCCTGTGGCTCCCCTCTAGAGCATGAAGAGCTGCAAGTGAATGTTTAACTCAGGAAGCCAGAGGCTCTGTACTCACCCACTTCACAGTGCTGTGACTGTCATTGAGGTCAGCATCGGAAAACAGTAAACTAATGTTATGAAAAGGGGAAAGGCTGGGATGTGACTCAGGGTAGATTACGTGCCTAGCATGCACTATTCAATCCTAGCACCATACAAGAAAATTCTTTTTTTCTTTTTTCCTTTGAGACAAAGTCTCAAAAGTTTATATAGCCCAGCTGGCCTCAAACTTGTGACCCTCCTGCCTCAGCCTCCCAAGTGCTGGAATTACAGGCATATACCACTACATTCACCTCCCAGGCATCTACTTTGAGAAGAAAACTATGTCTTCACAGGCATTTTATAGTCTATATTTTCTTTCTTTTTGTTTTTTGGCAGTACTGGGGTTTGAACTCAGGGCCTCATGCTTGCTAGGCAGGTGCTTTACGATTTGAGTCACTCTGCCAGCCCTGTTTTGTGTTGGTTGTTTTTGAGGTAGGGTCTTTCAAACTATTCCCCCAGTCTGGCTTCAAACCACAATCCTGATCTCTGTTTCCAGCACCAGGCATTTTTAGGGTTGTTTTTGTTTTTGTGGGTTTTTTTTTTTGGTGGAACTTGGGTTTGAGCTCAGGGCTTCACACATGCAAAGGAGATGCTCTACCACTTGAACCTCCAGTTTTCTCTCTCTCTCTTTTTTTTTTGTCTTACATTCTAGTAAGAGAAAATAAATGAACAGTGAAAGTTTTCAGGCTAGAAAACAATGGGTATGAATATAAACAATGGTCAACCTTCATATCCATCCACCCAGTATTTTTTTGGAGCATCTGTGTGCGCAGCTCACTGTTGGCTGTGTGTGTGTGGCATGGGTTGGGTGAGATTACTTCAATGAATAAGATACAGTTCCCAGCATCTATAGCTGTTAATATACTGGATGAAACTACATAGAAACCACTGCGGAAGGGTAGCACACTGAGAAACCTATCCCAATCTTAATAGATCATAAAGGAGTCAAAAAGTATGCTCTGAGGGAGCTAACTTTTCTTGACTTCTAATAGACATAACAAAATTATCACGAGGATAATTCGAGGTTCGAAGCCAGCCTGGGCAAACAGTCTGCAAGAGCCTATCTCGAAAAATCCCATCACAAAAAAAGGGCTGGTGGAATTTAAGGTATAAGCCCTGTGTTCAAACTCCAGTACTACAAAAAGAAAATCAGAGTCTTGAATATTCTACAATGCTGCAGAGCAAGTCATTTAAGTCATCATTCAGAACAACAATGAATAAAGAACAGCTGGTGATGTCTTAGCTCATCAGTTCACAAAGGCCTTTCAAATGTATTCTGCCATCTGATCCATGCATAGTTCTAGAGAGGTGGGTATAATGAGAGCACTGACCCTTTAGCTGGGCTGTCATCCTGGCTGAGCATCGCCCTTGTCAGAAGAGATCAAAGCAAGACAGCTAGTGGTGAAGGTTGTGCCAGACAGAAGCTTTGGAAATAGACAAAAATGGAAGAGGCTAACTATAATGAGTAAAATCGCTGTCACCAGCAAATTTACAATCTGATTTTTCATCCTTTTCCTTGGCTTTGAAATTCATAATGTGATTTTTTTTATTTTTCACTTGTGGATTTCCTTTCCTAATATGCTTTACTGATTCCAGAATTAAAACTTTGCATTTCCTGAGCTTATACTGGCCTGATCCCAAGAGGAAGTGGCTAGAAGCCATTAAGAGGGCCAGGAGGAGAACTGGCCTGGGATTAAAAGTCACCTGGTGTGCTGACAATCTGTATGTGCAGAATTATTAAGAGGAAGTCTATGGTCACTGTCTTTATGATTTCCCTTTCCCTCCTCATTCCTTTTCACTCTCATAACCACCTTTAATGCCAAAAAGAGAAGGGTCTGATGTCTTTGGTCAAGCCCTATTTGTATATGCCTTTTAGAGCAGGAGTTGTAGAGCCTTCAGAAAACACTTTTCCTTTAAAATTCAAGTACTATTTTCTTTCTCAAATGCTAAGAATCAGTAAACAACCTAGCGTGGGGGTTTTCTGAGCTAGACACTTCAGGAGAGGGCTTTCTCTGCACTACCAATCCCTCCCCACTTCTCTTCCAACCCCCCCCCGCCCCCCTCCCCAAACCTATCAGCTGCCAAGAGTAGATTCAACCTCATTCTCTCCATCCTTCCTTTTCCTTTCTGTCATCAGCTTGGATTCTAAGCCTACCTGATTCTGTTCTCACCCTTCAATCTAGCCTCAACACTGCTGCCAAAGTGATTTTTCTAAAAGGGCTAAATCTCAGTGTTGTTACTTGAAAGAGAAAGAAAGGAAGGAAGGAAGGGAAGAAAAGAAAAAAGAAAGAAAAGGGAAGGAGGGAAGGGAGGGAGTGAGGAAGGAAGGAAGGAAAAGGAAGACAGACCTATACAACTATTATAACTAAAAAAAAGCAATAAA